AGAGTTGACCCTTTCTTTTTATATCCGCTAACAACACATCCTTATTCAATATTCAGTCACCACAAAGGCTCTACTTGCCAGTATGGTACTGGATACAGTATGCAAGCAGTCATTAACTATAAATCACACAACCTTCAGAAAAAACTTGCTTATCACAAACTTTGACTGAATTTTAACAACTATTTTCGGGTTTTTTCTTCTTCTTTTTTTCGCCCAATGGCTGATGAAGAAAAGCGATTTATCTTAAGTCACATCTATGAGTTTTTTTAAGACCTTTTTGGCAATTGCTCTGACAGCAGCAGATTACAAATGGAATAAATGAGAAAGTCATGTGTAGGAGCAGGAATGGCACTGTTTCATAGTTTAGATCTCAAGTTTGAGAGAGAAAATAAAGCGTGACAGAGAAGTAGTACTATTCACACCTTCTGGGATCTGAATCCACATCCCCAAAAAATATCTGAACAATACACACGTGTGTTAATACTGTTTTATCTCGTGATTTCTTTTTTCTTTTTTGGGGGGGGAGGGGGGGTTCAAACCAAGCAGCTGCATTAATTTCTTCCCAGTGTAGAGACAGGGGAAGTTAAATTATAAAAGAGATTAAGTATGAGTTTACATTAAAGTCTCCAGCATGAATAAGTGGCTGGTTGGTGGAGGGCAAGGGTAAAAAGAAAAGGAGAGTTGGGGCACAAGTGGACACATCCCAATGTGTGAATATGCTAAGATGAAAAAGTGAGCTTTTCCTTTCATTTTTTTAAAAAACTTTTTGGTTTTTCTTTTCTTTCTTTTCTTTTTTCTTTTTTGGCCAAACCACAGCTTGATAAAGCCAAACACACGAGCGAGGGTGTGTGCTTACATTGTGGCTGAAGTGTTAGGCACTGCAAAAAAGAGCATGAGATTGTTTTACATGTTTCTGATTCTAAACACAGTAAGGCAATTTGATTATGGTTGAATGACAGCAATGTAAGTTCCCAGCCTTTTCTCTCACGATCAACAAATGCTCAATTTAGACTCAGGCAAGAAATAACACTTGGGTTTTTTTGTTGTTCTTGTTGTTTTTTTCCCATTTTCACAACCCTTCATAAGATTACCTGTGTAAAAACAGCTACAATCAAAAATGAGGCACTTTATAAAATACTATATATATATATATATAGTATACATTATAAAGTGGTTATGGAGACTTTTCTAAAATCATCATAGGGTTGCTTTTGTGTGAGACCCAAGTGCAGGACTCAAAACTCAAAAGCTGCTTTGTTGTTAAACTAATGAAACATAATCAGTCTGACAAGCCAGGAACCAGGAAACAAACAACCAGGAACCAGGAAACAAACAACCAGGAACCAGGAAACAAACAACCAGGAACCAGGAACCAAGCCAAAGGACCATGGACCGTTGGCTTGGAGTTTTTAATGCTGAAATGGCGCTCTTATTATCTGCCGCGAGAGTTCTCGGCTGTGTTTTTGGCAGCAGTGCTCGGCAAACTCCATGACGTCATCAGTGCATTAGAGACGCTGTTTTTATCGTCGCTGGTGACTTTAATAAATGCAACCTATGGACAGATCACCTGGACCTGCCAGAACCACCAGACCACCCAACCCCCTCCCCCGCCAGAGGTCACAATAGACCAGGTGCACAAAGCCCTGAGGAGGATCAACCCCGCAAGGCAGCAGGACCAGACAACATCCCAGGACAGGCTCTTAAAGCATGTGCCAATGAGATGGTGGAGGTTCTTTCTTCAACTTCTCCCTCAGCCAGAACACTGTCCCCACATGCTTCAAGACCACAACCATCATTCCTCTCCCCAAGAAAAGCCCAGCCACCTGCTTGAACGACTATAGACCAGTTGCACTCACTCCAATGATTGCGAAGTGCTTTGAGAGAGTGGTGCTGGCCTACATCCAGAGCAACATCACAGACACTCTGGGCCCCCTGCAGTATGCCTACCAGTCCAATAGGTTTACGTCAGACACCATCGCTGCTGCCCTTCACTATTCACTCTCCCACCTGGAAAACAAAGACTCATACATACTGTCATCCCACATAAACTCACTCACAAGCTGGCAACACTTGGCCTACATCCCACCCTATGTGACTGGATACAGGACTTTTTGACTGGCAGGCCCCAGTCCGTCAGGATCGGCAACAGGACTTCAGCCAGCATTATTACAAAAACTGGAGTCTCGCAAGGTTGCGTCCTCGGTCCCATCCTCTACCCCCTGTACACCCATAACTGTGTGTCACCTCCAACAAAGATAACATAATTTTGAAGTTCGTGGACGACACTGCAGTGATCGGCCGTATCACTGGAGAAGATGAGGCGGCTTACAGGAGAGAGGTGGCCGGTCTGGTGTCATGGTGTGAGGATAACAACCTCACCCTCATCACTGGCAAGACAAAAGAGATGATAGTGGACACGACGGAGAAGAGGAGGCCTCACCAGCCACTGTTTATCTGGGGGCTTGAGGTGGAGATTTCATTTTCATTTTTTCATTTATTTGTTCATTTCCAGGCACAACAAATACCTATATTGAACATAAATGCACAAAACAAAAAACAAAAATTGCCTGAAAAAGGAGTGGGACGAAGAAAACTTATTAAATCCCACCCCTATACTCACTCATCAACAAAAAACCAAAAAACAAAACAAAACAATAAACTTCCC